TTTCACAATTGTTTTCATGATTTTACCTGTTTGGTAGTTTTTGCTTTAATCTTATCTATTTTGTTATTTTCTATTCATTTGAATTTAGCTTGCTTTGAATTTTGTTTTTCCAGGGGGGATATAGTCTTTAGTTCTGGTTTGACTTATCATTTACCTGCTTTTAGATTTAGGATGAACACTTAGTTTGTAGAAATAAACTACCCCCTACTGGACCCAAGACACTGTTGTGTACGAGTATTTTGTTTTGTTTGTGAGGGTGTTTTGCTCTGCTCTGGCGTTGCGCCCTCTGGCGGTGAACCATGATTTAAACGCCGTTTAGTTTTTATGACCTGGCAGCAACAGTTTTACGAGGCTGTAGACAAAACAATGCCCCCGCCAATCCGGCCATTATTTGAAAATGATGATCCATTCCGTTTAAATTATAAGGCCTCACAACAACAACAACAACAACAACAACAACAACAACAACAACAACAACAACAACAACAACGAACGTCTCCTAATATACAATAACAATTATTAAATGTAAAGTAACAGGAAATTATATTTTCCTGATGACTCAACGGTGTCAACAGCTACACATATTTGCTTTAGTAAAACTTCAACAGTGTCGTAAATCATCTAGAGATTTGACTATCGACAGTTTCACAACAGGTCGTATAACTCTAGACTCGATTTCCAGTCTCTGAACTTTGCATACATTACAGCCTTAAAACAGTAGTTTTCTAGAATACAATAAACATTATTAAAAAAAGTAGCAGAGCATTATATTTTCCTCATAAGTATTTCAAGCGGGAGGGTCGTCACCTGCGCACGCGCGGTAATTGAGTCCCAAGCAACGATAACAACATACTAGTATGTTAAAACGCAAAGGCTCATGGGCTTGTTTGTAAAAAAATGACACGCTATGGCCATTTGACGCATGCGCAGGTGACGACTTCTCGCTTTAAGTAAATACTGTATGTGGAAAAATACCACAAAATAAGTCCTGTATATTTTTTCTTGTATTTTAGTGACCTATACGCGCGGGTACTAGATACTCTACACGATGTTTTTGAGTCATTTATATAATTAGATGGTTTGTATAATGACAAATCATCAAGGATGAAATAACACTTTTTGCTTAAAGTGGGAGGGTCGTCACCTGCGTACGCGCGGGAATTCAGTCCCAAGTAACACACTAAAAACGCAAAGGCTCATGGGTGGACGCATGGCCATCTGACGCATGCGTAGGTTACGACCCCCCCGCTTTAATTTATGTAATGTTTTTTTCTGAAGTTTTGAAAGTTGCGCCCTGTGACTGATTATTTGGAAGAGCAAGGAAATGAACTTGAATTACCCAAACTCATTTTTGAATTTTTGTTCAGTTGTAAGCATAGTTTAGTAGGGCTATGAGATTTCACAATTCATTTTTATGGAAACAATTTCGGATACCTCCTTTTTAATTCGTTCATTTACAATTATGTAACATCATTTTATCGTTTGAATATCAGTCATGTTTACTATCTACCCATATATTTGAGGATACACTCCAAGCTAAATAAGATATATAGTTGAATTGCTGCAGGTATTAGTGAGGAGCACGAGTAGAAAAATAAACAGATGGAACGCAAGGCAACCGACGCAAACATACAGAGATCCAAGAAAATACTATGTTCCAAACACAGCAATATAGCAGTCACCATTGGTCTCTGTTTTAATTATTCGACTGGTTGTATTTAACTTTATTTATTGCTCGCATTTGTTGTTAACAGGGGCGGATCTAGGATTCTGGAATAGGGGAGGGGGGCGATAAGTTGGCCGAAGGCAAAGTTTGCGAGCGCTGATGGCACGAAGCCCTATTGGTTGTTAAAAATAGAGGGGCCGCGGCCCCCTCGGCCCCCTCTAAATCCGCCAATGGTTAATGCTCATTTGGTCTCTATCAAGTCATTATGGTTACTGTTGTCATTTTGTGAGAGCAGTGGTTCCTTCTAAATTGAAATTCAGACCATATGTTTTTGTCGAGTTAATTAGTACAACAAATGCTCATTTCAGTGCAAGTATTCTCTGGTGGACATCTTTTGTACTAGATTACACGTATACAATACAATCAATTACCAAACATCTAGCCAGCGTAATGTTTGGGAAAAACAAAAATGGCAGGCTAAGAAAATAAGATTACCCTTCTCAATGACCAAGTAAGAAAATTACAGCCTCCTTTTGCCGTTTAGATTAAAGAGCGGTGGTTGTTACGCATCGTGTGTTCGAATTTCGTGTAAATAAGCATGCATTTTACACGCGTTGTATACGTCCCATAACGAACAGCATGAGGAGTGATGACCACCGCCCTCGGATTTTGTTGGTCTCGCAACCGGTCGTAAACACTGAACCATCTTAGTAATGTCTAGCATTATAATACCTTGAGCAAACAAACAAGTCATTCACTGCCAGGCCAGCAAGCTACCCAACACGTTTCTTTAGAGTCGTAAATAATGTATTTATAGTTCTTCTTACACTTCAACAGCAACCGTAAATTATTTCGAGATTTAACAAAAGAAAAGTTCACAGTAGGTCGTACAATCCTACACTCGATTTCCAGTCACGTGATTTCCAGTCGAGTCTCGGGCCGTTCCTGATTATTATACTGCCCTCAGCGGTATTTATTATATATAAGGACACTTGTTGGAGAAACATAGCCGCGCGCGGTGGGTTTTATTCAAGACACCAGAAAATATTTAGTATTTATATATATGTATTTTCCAGTGTCTTTGTCTGTACCAGCGCATGTTGATAATTAGCGGAATTTTGAATTGTACGAGTTAGTCTCTGTGCGAGCGTGTATGTGTGTGCCCGTGCG